TTGCTACATTTCATTTTCAAACCTTAGCCTGCAGAATTAACATTCAAAGTAACAAAAGATAGAAAAGTTCATAAAAACTACTCACTCTTTTCACTCTCTCTCCAATTCTTAGACTCCACTAAATCACCTGAATGCATAGCGGACATAATCTTCTGAGCAACACTGGAAAGTGGTATCTTACAGAGATCAAAGCCTACAAATGTTTTGTAATTTTCCATTTTCATACAATCCTAAACATAAGATAAACATAATAACACCCATATATTAATTTTGAGACTTCAAAGAAACAAGTTATTTAAAACTTTTTATGTACTGAGACTGTCTTAAAAATTACTATATTAATCACAAGAAACAGATATAAACTATCCCCAAAATAGATAGGATAGTAGGAAGAAAGCAATGGTTAGAGGCTCATCTGGGGTGTTATGGTAAGCAGGTAACAAAGAACGTATTTTCTAGTTAACCAATTTTAAAGCAAGCAATTTATTTAAATACTTCCTGAGATTTCAAACGGCTGTTATGATCTTCAAACTTACAAATCTAATACCATAAAAATTATTAACTGACTTGCGTGATTACGACATACTACCTGACACCCTGTCACTCACACTGCTCAGCTGTACTGGCCCCCGGGACTAAGCAGTGATGGTCTGGAAAGGACAGTACAAATCATCAAGTAGTCGGTCATATATCTTAACATATCTGGCACTAATCTAAACAGAATTTGCTATTCCATGAACCAGGAAACCAGGTGACATTTCTTCCACATTACTGGAGAAGAGAAAAATTTTAAGTAAATTCTCTATTCAAAGGCAGAATGGGGGTGGAGGGGAGAAGGAAAGAAAAAAGTACCCATGAGGAGCTAATAGCAAAATCTCAGACAAAATTTTTGCTACAAAATTTTCAAGCATATTAAGATCTACTAACAAAATTTCAAATAATGCACAAATACATTAACTGGTAAAGCATTTCTGTTCAATGAATTACAGAAATTATCGGGGCTCATATTACTAAACATGCCCATTTTCTGATGGTTACAGCTGAAAAATTCCATAAAGACCACCTATAACGTAGTTTTTAGATACTAAGAGCAGATAATATATTCTTAGCAAGAATATTCTTGAAGGTAATATCTACATCTCTTTTCTCTATGAAGCTTACATGGCATGTAACACAGGCCGCTTATAAATCAAATCCTGTATTATTGATGTAATAATTAAGCTCCTTCAAGCTATTTATACCAACTCTTAATTTTCTAAATATGACACTTGTAACCCAACTAATAGCCCAACATTTGAAGTATTTTCACTCTATAGAAACTGATTAAAACAGCATCATACATCCTTTGAGCAATCGCTTCTGTGGAACTTTGAAATTTCATTTGAAAGCCATTCCTCTGTTAAGTCACACTGAAGTCAAAAGCACTGCCAAGACCTGCCTTGTGGAAATTTTGAGTCCCCAGGACCCGGCCTGTAAAATGGACAATGGCCCATGGAGATGTGGCATTCATTGTGGTCTAAGTAGGAACATTGAGTCTCAAATTATGAGGGAAAACAGGTTGAGAGGCAGAATTTTATTTTATCGTCAAATATGAGGGACTTGGCTATTTCACATATTAAGGTCTATAGCTTTAATAATGCTGATTCAAAGTTCCACCAATCCTTTAAATACTTAAAAACAGAAAATTTCTATTTCTAAAAGAATCGGTAAGAGAGATATAACTATTGAAAAATATTTGTATTAGATAATACAGTAGTGCCCCCTTATCCACGGGGCATCCAAGACCCCCAGTGGACTCCTGAAATAGCCAGTATCGAACCCTATATATACGCTATGTTTTTCCCTATACATACATACGTTTTCATTTAAAAGAAGCACTTTATGGCTTCTCTGTGGCACAAATTGCCAGCATCATTACTCTTGCATTTTGGGACACAAACATTGCAATACCGCAACAGTTGATCCAAGATAGCAACTAAGTGACTAACAGGAAGGTTGCACGTAGCATGGAGACGCTGAATAAAGGGATAATCCACGTCCCAGACGAGACGGAGCGGGACCCTATAAGATTTCATCAGGCTATTCAGAACGGCATGCAATGTAAAACTTCTGAATTTACTTCTGGAGTTTCTCATTTAATATTTTCAGACTGCACTGGGCCACGGGGTAACTGAAACTGCTTTAGACGAAACCGAACGTGAGGATGTGAGGGAACTCTGCGATGCTTTCTCCCTAAAAGTAAAAAGTTACCAGGACCTAGTGCCACCATTGAAAAGTTCAAGTCACAGAAAGCACTGGAACACTGAACGAACACGTTATATTATATGAGGGGAAAAAACACTGACATAACACTTGAATTCATTAAATTAAATGTCCCGTTGACCTCAAATTTAAAATGTTAAAAGCGTTTATTTGCTACATTCTCTTCCTAATAGATAAAACATTAAAACAGAGCACAAGTAGTAAAGATTCAGTTTTTAGTAATTTTCAATTTTTGGGACCAACAGCTTTAATCTTTGATTGGTTTTCTAAATTCTCCACAATATTTTTCAGATAATCTTCATCTTTTAAAAAATATACATATAATTCTCTTTCCATTTGATTCAGCTTATTAGATGCCAAGATTTTTCTTTTTGTTTTCACATCAGCAAGAATATCAGTAAGAAGATGATTTAGCTTATTCAGTTGAGATTCAACGTGATGAAACTGCTCCATTAACTCCTAAAAGGAAAATAAAAATGATTTTAATGCAAGAGCTCTATTTGTAACACCAATTATAAATTTATAATGTAATTTACACAGAATTACATTTATGTATTATCTTAAATTATGTTAAATCAACAATTTTAATAAATGAACCTCAATAAAAAATCTATAAGTTTAATATAAATTCCATGTAAGATCAATTGCAATAACTTCTGATAGGCAATTTTAAGTGATTCAAAGCAAACTCTTACTCCCTGAAGAGTACTTGATATGTAAAAACTGTTCTGCACATTCATACATTCAACAAATATTACTGAATGCCTACCATGTGCCGAGCACTGCCCTAGAGACTACGGATTACACAAATAAACGCCATCTCCTTCATGGAGTTTACATTCTGCTTAATTAATCTAATCAAACCTTGTTTTAGCCTAATCTGTTTATTCTAGACACAGGAGGTACTGAGAAAGTCTTGAAATAGAGCAATTGCCAATAAAAAAAGAATTACCTCAACAAAAACCTCCATTTTTCTTTTTTCATTGTTAAAGATAAAATTATATGTGACATTCAACAATCCTGACTTACCGTGTCACCCTCCTGCTCAAGAACATAGACATGCCGGACCCATCACATTTAATAAATTGACACTCTTCACTTCCGAACATTAAAAGCGGTTTATTAACAAGTTTCCATGGTTTTCTAAGCAAGTATTCTACTCCTATAAATTTTCAGCCAGTATTACCAAAGAGGTTCGCAGAAAATCTGCAGCTCTAACTGCCTCATCACTGCCCAGAGCTTCTCAGCATGGGCCACAAACACAGTGGTCACCTGAGGTGCCCGTTACAAAACCAGATTCCTGCCCTCATTCCACGCTACACTGCTCAAACTCAGCAACAGGGCCAGGAAGCTACACTTCAACTGGCTCCCTGGTGATTTAATGCACGAGTTCAATAATGACAGCTTACCATCTCTCATAAAAGCCAGAGAGCAGTAATTAAACTACAAGTTGTAAAAAAATCAAGTAATACCTAAATACGTGGTCTCTCTTTGAGGAAAAGCTTGGCAAACTTGAATACGATGGGAAACAACAATCTCATCTTTAATTTCAATACTAAAGATCTTTATAACAATTGCTAAAATACTCCTACAGATACTGAAAAATATTCAACTTCATTAATAATAAAAATGTAAGTTAAAATTAATATGGATAGCATTTTGTACCTCACTGGGCTAGGGAAAACATTACATGATACTCAATAACAGTGAAATAACCAAATTTTAGTGATTCTAGGATACAAACTTTCATTTTAACATATCTGAAATTAGCATGCATTTCATAATCAAGAGCATCATCTAATGTCATTGACCAGACACGCAAGAAATGGTGAATTGCCCGTATGAAAAAAAAATGTATGTGTTGAGAACATTGGGCAGGAGCTCTCCCCCCAGCAGCTCTGTGAGAGTCCTACGAGGGAGGCCCTGCTAACTACAGGCACAAAGCTGCACAGCGGTGCATCTGCTCCACTAACAACTCACCACCCCCTTCTCAGGCCCTGCAACCACCACCATTCTACTCTGCTTCTCAGCTCGACTATTTTAGGGGTCTCTCGTATATGCGGAATCATGCACTATCTGTCCTTGTGACTGGCGTACTCCACCTCGCATATTTCCCCAGGGTTCATCCACACTGTCGCATGCTGCAGGATTTCTTTTTACTTAAGGCTGAATGACACTTCACTGCGTGCGTACACCACACTGTCCCTACCCGTTCCTCCACTGATGAGTACTTAGGCTGTTTCCATGTCCTGGCTGTTATGTGTAGTGTTGCAAAGAATGTGGGGTGAAACATTACTTTTACTAACATTTCTCTGAGATCCTAATTTCGATTCTCTTTTTAAATATCCCGAAGTGGAACTGTTGGATCATGTGGTAGTTCTAGTTTATAATTTTTTGAGGAACCTCCAAACTGCTTCCCACAGCAGCTGCACCACCATTCTGCATTCCCACCAAAAACGTAACAAGAGTTTCAATTTCTCCACATCCTCACAAACGCTTGCTGTCTCTGTTTTTTTTTTTGATAATAGTCATCTTAACAGGTGTAAGGTGTTATCTCACTGCGGTTTTGATGCATTTCCTGATGATTAGTGACACTGGGCATCTATTCATATATCTGTTGGCCATTTGTATGTCTTCTTTGGAAAATTATCTATTCAAGTCCTTAACCCACTTTTTAACCAGGTTATTAGCATTTTTTGCTATCCCCAGCATTCTTGATTATAGAGTACGGAAAAGTACAAACAACTTTGAGTGAAAAAGTAACGCAGAAAAACTGACAATGTGAATCTTCGGAAAACCCTATTTAAATTGGCTTATTTTTTCCCTTTAATTCATATTAAAAGAGTGATAAGATAAAAATCTACATCTATCTGCACCAAAAAGTATCTTCTAACAAGTATAAAATAAAATTCTAAATAAGTATTGTGTCGGTTTAACTGTTTTTCTTAGCAATTCATAAAATGATGGTATACCCTATGATCAATGGTGTCTATTACACAGGTAATTAGTGCTGGTGGCACTGTACACAGGTATGACCCCTTTAAAAAGCAATATGGCAGTATAGAAGGCCAAAAAATATTTGTGTACCCAAGGAAGTCAAAAATCCTACTTCCAAGAATTCATCCAAATGGAAGTGTCCAACAACAAAAAGCTACATACACAAGATATGCATGTCTTTCAAGAGCAAACGAAAAAAGAAAATGCAGATTATCAAAGTACCCAACGATTGGCTACAGAAACTAAGACATGGTAATTAAATCAACAGAGTACTGTAACATTAAAAATTAAGACAATTATTTAGTGAAATGTTTATTTCATAATGCTATGTAATCAAGGAAGACTAAAAGAATAAAAATATATGGAAATAAAGGTAAAAAGCATATACCTTGCAAATACTAACAGAAAGAAAGATAGCAAAGGAATATGATCAGGTAAAAGAACATTAAGACAAAAATAACAACAGGAATAGACAGGGTCATGATGTAATGCTACAACGGTTCAATTCACTTCAATTAAATCCACCAGGATAATTCGCTGAAATTTTAAACCTGGACATAACTTATAAAATAGACTCAAATATAAAAAAAAAACTGTTATAACTACAAGGAGAAGTTTTAAAATCTACACTCACAGAAAATTTTTATACCACTATTTATTGGATCAAGAAAATCAGTAACAGGAGATTTTTTTAAAAATTTATTACAGATATCACCTCACACCCATTAGGATGGCTATTTCATATATTTTTTTAAGGAAAATAAAAGTGTATACAAGGATATGGAGAAAGTGGAACCCTTGTGCATATCTGGTGGGAATGTAAAATGGTGCAGCTGCTGTGGAAAAGTTAGGCAGGTCTTCAGAAAGTCAGACACAGAATTACCACATGACCCAGCAATTCTACTCCTAGGTACATACTCAAAGAAAACAGGGACTCAGATGCCCGTACTCCAACGTTCCTAGCAGCACTATTCACAACAGCCAAAAGGTGGAAACAACCCAAATGTCTTTCAACAGATGACCAGATGAACAAAATGTGGTGCATACACACAATGCAATATTATTCAGCCATAAAAAGGAATAAAATTCTAACACATGCTACAATATGGATGAAATTTAAAGACATTATGCTAAGTGAGATAAGCCAAACACAAAAGAACAAATATTGTATAATTCCATTTCTATGAGGTACTGAGAGTAACCAAATTCATAAGTAGAATAGAGGGTATGAGGGGCTGGGTCGAAGGTGTGGCAGGCAACTGAAGGAGATGAAAAGTTCTGGAAATGAACAGCGGTCATGGTTGCATGACACTGTGAATGTACTTAACGCCACTGAATTAGACTCTTAAAGATAATTACGATGTTAAGTTTTTACAGTTTGTATATTTTACCACAAATTTTTTTTTGCTTACCAGAATTAAAAAATATATATTTTAAAAAAGTAATCACAAGCTTTCCTGTTTCAAGGTAGGCTAACTGTTAAGATGAATCCTCCCATAGCAAAAAAAAATGTAAAAGGCTAAACATCTTTTAAAAATCAAACAAAACAAAAGCTTCCTAAAAGTAATGAAGAGATAACAAGACACTAAAAGGAACTACAAATCCATAAAACCACCCAGACTGGCAAGGGAGCCCAGAAGCAGCTTTGCTCTAAGGCAATTGCTACTCTTAGAAAATTGGAACCTATGATTCTTAAGACTCTCAAGATGAGTGGGAGAAAAATAAAAGCCCAAGGTCCGTGGAAGGTGAGAAGTCAAACAGGAGACCCTCTTCACAATAAGCTAAGGACTCAAAGAACACCAACAAGGTTAAGATCAGGATGGCCCAGGACACGGTTCCATAGTGTAGCGGTTAACATGTCTACTTTACATGCAGAAGGTCCTGGGTTTGCGCCCCAGTGGAGCCATGGTCCATGTGTCTAGGGCCACGCCACCCTGAGCAAGCCCAATGTCTGATCTCGGAAGCTAAGAGGGTCGGGCCTGGTTAGTACTT